CCTTCGTACTTCAGTACAGCTAGATTATTACACCTTTCAGTATATCTAAAGCTAGATCGCGTAGAGTACTATAAAATGATTGACTATGTCAACTTCAAGTTTATTGAGACTATGATTTCGCTTGTTTATTGTTGTATGCCACGAAGATACTGGCTAGACATGGTTATTTATACGAAACAGAGGACTGGACAGTGATGATCATTTAAGCAGTCTAACGAAATGCTTATATTGGTACGTGAATTGATAAAAGGATCTAGGAAGTTACTAGTAATGAAAATATTGTCTTGGATAACTTCTTGTGAATCTGTAGCTTTTTTCGAATGAAATAGGGATATGGACCACTTACTTTAAAATGTGGCATGAAACTACATTATTTAGTGAATGATGCTTAAACCAGAAGAAGTATAATGCTTGGAAAAAGATAAGAGAAGTAAGTATACTCTATAGTGTACACCAATGAATAGCACTCACTTTTGAAAGTTTAGCATGTCAAAATTATTGCGTTTAACAGTAACAAATGCATTCTAAATTATGTTGAGCTAATTTCTCCACTGTAAAGACAGGAATACTACTAAACATCATAAAATCACAAGGATGGGGATATTTAAATATATAAGAGCAAGTATGTGGAATTTACATTTTTGGTATTAAACTAGTTAAATATAAAATACAGACTTTTGTAGGTGATTATATCATGTGCATGTCCAAATGCATAAGCAATGAGGGGCGAGCCTTTTATTGCTCCCACTGGTGGCGGGCGGGCGAAGGGTCCAAAAGACATGTAGCCGGGTGCAAGTAAAAAAAAATAAAATAAAGAGTTCCATTTTCCTTCTTGTTCATCAATCGGAAATCTTCACAACCAGGCCATCCTGCCGAGCTTTGATCTCACTAAGTTCTGCTGCCTACAGATTGCTTGGACAGGACAGAAGAGGAGTACTCGTGTGTACACAAAGCTTCAAAATTTTATCAAAGAAGCTTTTGCTCCCTTCTCCAAAATAAGGACTAGTGATTGTTTCTATGTTTGATAATAGTTGACTTGGTGAAGTTTGCTATTCTTTCCCTCCCATTCAATGTAAAAGCACCACTTAATAATGAATTAAATTGTGCCAATGTTTCTTCTGTCTATTTCTGTTTATTTTAGGCCAATGACCACAACGCTTTACGAGTAATATTACCATAAGTCCCCTCTTAGCAGAGTGTGGTTGATATGTAGTTACTTCACATCTAATATTATTCAGATGGTACAAGATGAAACTATTGTTCATAGGTTACTCAAGTATTATTTCGTAATGATTAGCAGTGGTGTTCGGAGAGTTTTCTTGAAAGAGAATGTTGTGGTTACTTTTGTGAGGAGTAGAAATTATGCATCGAATTTCTTGCATTTGCCAATATCTTGAAATTCCAATTAGAGGACAAGTGTCTGTATGTAACATAGGATGGTCATGAACTTCATGCTGAAAAGTGAATTTTAGGCATAATTTAGAGCATGCCCTATCTTGCATCCGGCACTTCTGCTATTGTAAGCTAGCTCCAATTCACAGCCAATGTCAATATGAAATTCTATGTCATGGAAACTTTTTCATGGCACTTAAAATGTTCAATGTACTATTTTAATTTATGTTTAGTGTATGAGATATGATTGGATTGGAGGATTTCTGATTAGATACAACATGATGAGTATGTTCGGTTGCAGTATTAGTGAGGATTGGTTGTATAATCAACAAGATTTTAACTTCTTTTTCTTTCTTTATAATGTCCAATGCTATTCAATCCTCTCTATAAAAAATGTACTACAATTGTTTATTATATAGTTCTTTTATTAGTTGTCCTTTCATAATTGTGTTTAATCAATACAACTACCTAGGGAAGATTTTAAATGTCTATTTCCTTTTGCAAACGAACTATGTTTGAGCTCCTGTTGTTTTTGCAAGTTTCCAACCTAGTTTTTTAGTCACTACTTTTTCATGGTTATTGAGAAATCTGTTTTAATTCTACCAGGTAACCGTTTAGCCAGTTTCTAAGGAGCTCTTGGATATTTTCTGTGGTGCCTATATAATCATTTAAACTTGAGATTCAAAAAGATTGAATGAGTCATGGAACAATCCAATGTGTTTGTGTAAATCCCAAATTGGCCAATTTGCTTTCTTAGAAGAGGATATTAGCAGAAAATAATGTCAAATGTTGTAAGCCTGATACTGGAGAAAGGGTAGACAATATCTTTGGTCTATTTTAGAGTAGACTATAGCTCATGTCAGCTCGATTAGACTTAGCTTGTGGTTTTTTTTTATGAGTTGAGCTTAACTAATGATGGTTGAGTAGATAAACTTTGCTAGTTTAGCTGCTCAGGTATACAATTTCTAATTATTAGACTTAATTGAAGAAATTTTACAACATAATAACTTTTTAAGCTCTTTTACGTCTGAATGTTTTTTTCTACATTTTCACAGTAAACTAGATTTTATCTACTTCTCCAAATATAATGTAAATATAATTAGATTAGAGTGTAATATGTTTAGGTCCCAAATTGGAGCTTGACTTTGACCTTGGTTTGAGCCTGGCTTGGATTGGAGTGAGTAAGTTTATTGATCAGCTCGAGCTTAAGCTCAAACTTGCTAAAGTTGACCTAGCTTGACTTGTTTTTAGTTCTGTTATTCCTTAATCTTAAGGACATGAGAAATTCTGGATTATAGGATATTTGGACATAGAAAACATGCCACAGGGGACAGATAATATGCCGTCAACATTCTCCAAAGAATTATTTTTATCATATTGATACTGTTTTAAGTCCCGAACTTATATTTTGCTGCCTAGATTGATTTATATTATAAATGAGATGTTAAAACTTTTTGAATTTGTCAGTAAAGGTCACCAGCAACCAGTTGCATGTAGAAATGTCTAACAGCTATTTCTGTCCTTCGCGTTTTTAAGGTGGAAGCAAGTGCATCTTGCGATCGAGAGTTGGAACAGGAAGCAAGAACCTTTCCTTTACACAGAGGAAAGTGAAAGTTTCTTATAATCGAAATGATTGCAATGTAAAGCTGCAGTTTTCTTCATACAGTAGTTCATATCGGTTGGTCGAGTTCTGAAACCAACCATCATGTGCCCTCAGGTTCTTAATATTTTGGAGTTTCTACAGCATGTTTCTGGGTTAAAACAAGAATTAGTTGTGTTATTAAGTTGCACTCTGTACATACGGTTTTGAGATATGTTTTTCCTGTACTTTGTTTGTTAGTTTGTATGTGTGTTTAAGATATCTATTTTCTTTCTATGTGGACTCAACAAGACTGAATTGCATATGCTTCTTCTGGGTTTCTGCTCATTCTTTTCTTGTTTGGAGTTAGGGCCGGAAAAATATAAAGAGTGACGAGGTTGAAGATCCGTGATGCACGACTTTTTATTCAACGAACACTTCCACCAAGGCATTGGCTTAATTTTCTCAACCAAAATGTGGTCAAGTTGGAAATACAGAAGCTCCCAGTATTCAAGTGTCATTTTTTGGTGAAAACCTTGTGTAACTATGATGTACAGTGCGAATTCATTTTTACCCAGAAAGTTTGCAGCCCCATTTCGAAGCACTTGGCAAAGCTATGCTAAGCTCTTAAAATCAAATATCTCAACTTGTTACGTTTTTCATATATAGGTTTAATGTTCTGTACTCAATAGTATTAGCAATAATGCCCCACTTATTTTTAGTCTGCCATGCTGTCTTATGATTTTACATAGGGATATTTTTGATTTAGTATGAATGACTAGTGAAAGAACAAATAAAGGTTTGAAGTTCATTATTTTACAGTGCCTTCATTTACAAAATTTCATGTGTTGGATTTTGAAGAAAAAATGAATTTAACATGGCTAAGAATATTTAAAATGACAAGTTTACTCTTTTGAGTTTTTAAATAATCCGGTCAAAGGTGTTTTGATCAAATGAGAATTTGACGGAATTCATTCATTTGGATGAAAGCCAATTTAAACTAGGGAAAACTTGTTTGGCCAGGGTTAAATTCAGGCTAAACAACAGTTGGCACCCCCCTATTGGAGGGGCGGCTATTCCCCAGCACAGTTCTTTAAACTAGGATTTGCTGTTTGTATATCTGAAGTTGATGGCCCCTCCAACAAGGAACAGAAGTTGGTTGCTTTTTCTTTCTCATAATTAATTGAAGTCATAGGGTTTCCATCCATTTATTCATTCGACTCAGACATCAATACAATTAGATTCGCTCTTTATAGATAAACTTGGGATTTGCGATACCGGTAAGATGGAGAAGTGACCCACAACAAACAGAGGAGGATTTATTCAATCATATAGTTTGGCATTAAGATTTTCAAGGTTTGGCCAAGGTTTAGCTCAAGACCCCCTTTCTTAAATCCAACCAATCTTTTCGTAGGCGTTCGCGATTATGCTAGGTTTGGTTCAATCAATCCGTTCGTTGATTTGAGACTCAAGAATGGGGTTGTCATCTTGAGTGTCAACCTTAGATGTGCATATAGCAAAACTCATTTAAAAGATTGTTTGATGCCCATTTTCCTTAAAAAGTGCATTTTGAAATAGTGTTACGATGGAGAATATGTGGTTAAAAAATAAAGAAATATTTTGGATTTGCGTATAATATTATTTTATTGAAAAATTTGTGGTTGAAATGGTATCAAATCATTGTTGAAGAATGTAGTTTGATGAAAAAAATGGGGCTCAAACAAGGGTTCAATTATCTAATAAGGTACAATTGTCATTGCAGCCTTAGATGCTCCAATAGTCGTATTTGCTTAGTTCTTGTTTGACTTTTATCTTTTAAATTCATTTTGCTCAAACTCATTTTTAATTATTCAATTTTTCTCTCTTTAAATAATTAATGCTGAATTAGCTAAATCTGATTTAAGTTGATAATGTTTCGATGAAAATTATGAAATTTCAGTTTTTCAATATCTCTTGATACAATTTCTGAAGGAATGGACATGATTTCTATTTATGAGTCGATCATATCTTTTTGATTGAAGGATTCTAGTTTCAATTTAACAATGCGTATGCAGCTATGGCCTTTTTTCTGAATGGATCTGCTAACTGAGCGTTGTGTTTTCTGGTTTTTGGTAACTTTTTTTGTGTCAAATTACTGAATTATGCTCTTATTTTGAAACTACTGAATTGATTGATGCTAGAGTGCGATCAATTTGACATGTAAACAATGGTTATTCTGAATACTTGACCAATAAACGTTCATTTTTTATATTTGATCCACATATCGGTGCCAAAGCATCTTATTTTATCTGTTTGAACAGACTTTCGATGGAAATAGTACGAATTCATTCGATGACAGTTAATATTTTAGCCATTGTCACATTGCATTTCCTTCTATAAACAGAGGCTGGATAATTGGATAATTTAGAGCTTCTATTTCCATTTAAGAAACTGGGTTCTATTAATGAAAGTTGGAAACTTTACAGGCTTTAAAAAGGTGAAAAAAGTGAGGCATGTAGAGAGAAGAGACTTGAGAAAAAAAATGTGTCATTTAGTTCCATTATTGGAGCTTTCCTTTTGTCTTAGACAAGTGGTTTTGCTATTAAGATTTAAGTTGGTTTCTTTGTTCGTAAAAAACTGGTTATGTTACACTCTCTTTTACAGTATTGATAGCTTTAATTGCTGTTCGATTGATTTTGTTGTGTTGTATTGGATTTTTTGCTTTTATGAAATATGAAGATGGATGGGAGAATCAGTGGGCCAAATCTGACTGGAAGAAAGATGAGAACATGGCCGGAGAATGGAACCTTACCACTGGTAAATGGAATGGGGACTCTACCGATGAAGGTAAACATGTCATTAGTTGATGAGTCTTAAGTACGTAGATATGTTTGCGCAATATATATGTATATGAATTTGTATGTACTGAATATATGACGTCAAAGGGGATTTACTTCTATGTCTTAGTGCAGGTATATAGACCACTGAAGACTACAGGTTTTATGCCATCTCAGCTGAGTTCCCTGAATTCAGCAACAAGGACAAGACATTAGTTTTCTGGTTCTCTATCCAGCATGAACAGAAGCTTGACTGTGGTGGTGGATACATGAAGTTGCTTGGTGGTGAAATTGATCAGAACAAATTTGGAGGTGACTGTAACACTCCGAATTTTAAAATTTTCCACGTGGGCTGGTAATTTAGCAAATAAAATAATCCATGTCTAACATTGTCGTCACACTAAAATCGAAAAGTTGAAGTGATAAACACGTCCCACTTATTTGCATAAATGGTTTATTTCGCAAACATATACTTTTAATTTATCGTAACTTATCTGAGTCAAATATTTAAGCATTTTTGAAGTTGATAAAAATATATCAATATTATACTCGTTTTATAGCTCGTGTTAAATAATAAAAATTGAGCTTAAGAAAAAGTAATTTCGAGCTAGTATGCTCGAGTTATTTTAATAAAATGAAATATGTTATCTTTTAATATTTTATTAATATGTCATATGTGTAAATAATATAAAATGATTTTTTTCTAGAAATATGTGATTTATGATTGTAAAGGAAACGTGTATGTTTTATTAACTATGTTCACTTCAGTACGTATACATTGGAATTTGAAACGGTTTTATCATTTAATATATATATATATATATTAAACACAAATCACTCATTAAATTTACAGTGTAATTGATCCGTTTCCAGAATTCTAACCATCGGACGTGATAAGACGTGTCCATTAATAATATATTAATTTATTAACATCATCAGGTGTACATTTAACCACAGGCGTTTCGTTGGTTCATGTTACGTGTTAAATGACTTTTATGAGTGTCTATATATGTTCTCAGTGAGTGTTTTACTTTTAAAACAAGTTTACAACTTCATCTCTATACAAATTCTTGGATATCAAATTAAGGTAAGAATACATGGTGCAAGTGGTAAATTTTTATCCTTGATATTTATGTAAATTTGGCATGAAATACTAGAAGGCCTTCGGGTCGAATTATATGTTAAATTCTTCGGGATGGACCGTCAAGTTAAAAAAAAGAAGTTAAATTCTACGGGATATGGGGATTCTTAAGAATTCCTTGAACTCTAAATCTAAGAAATGTTGGTATGTTATACTATTTTTATATTTATATTATGTGAATAAGGATGTGCACGTATTCTTACTGAATGTTTTAAAAAATACTCACTCTTACAATATTTTCAGATTGAGAACGGGTCGTATGGACGCGTGGAAGATTGACCGAGCGATGCTTATGGGGTCGTCTAGCAAATTTTCTAGAAAAGGATAATTATCAAATTTATATAAAGAATATCTTTGTGTAAAT